GGTGTTGTCGTTTCTGTCGATACCCAATCGCCATTGTTTAACGCATTTACTATCGTCAATGGGTTGTCTTGAGTCCATATGGCAGCAGATTACGTGTGCACATAAGACCCATAGGACTCTTGAGCAATAGCCGGTGCACGTCTTGAGGTTCGCACGATCGAGGGCGAGCAGATTATATTTTTAGAAGCACCAGCGCGTATCGCAGTATTTTGCGATAAAGCTTCGAAAACAGCTCAATGGAATAGTTTTCGAGTATCTCGCATCTTTCCATTGCCATCGTTTCGCTTAATCGCTTGCCATAAAATTCTACACCCTTTGATTTTCTCTCGTAGACGTCGAGAAGAGTTCCACTTGTGCTATCAAGCCAACTTTTGATGTTTGCGTGATGCGCACCCTCGACTCGTAGTTTAAGTGTGTGTGTGTCCAAAATGTCGGAATCGGTCGTTGCTGAACGAAGTTCAATGGTGTCAAATAGGGAACTTGTTCTTATCGAGGTATGCAATTGTTCTGTCGTCCTGAATAAACCAATTAAATACCAAATACATATTAATACTAAATTAAACTATCGGTCACATATTATAACTTCGTACAACTAAGAACTTACTACAATAGGTGGGAGCTGTTGCCAAAGCTGCATAAATAAACCGTACGTAGGCGCATTGACAATAGCCTTTCAGTGGTCCATGAAAGCTATCCAGTCATCCTCACCGGCATTCAAAAAAATTCGTCAACGCGTAAAAGTATTGTTCGAAATTTGGAACAGACAGATTTGATAAATGCGCGTGACCGTTTATCAGTAATAGCCTAAATGAGGCCAAAGTCGCAATCGAAGACGAGAGTATTTGGGGCCTTAGGAAAAAACATGCCGATCTCATTATTCATCCATCCATAGTCGATAAATGCTTTTCCATTATTGAATCCAACTGCAGCAGTAAAAGTCTGGTTACACGTATATCCTCCCACGTGCAGTAGCGGGAGCCCGTAAGCATTATCAATAAAGGTGCAAATGATGAAAACAACGTTGTTGTATCGGCTGATAAATTTCACTGAATGTTGTGGTTGCCAAAATCGATGCCGGACGTGATTTAATTCGTCCACCGGGACCGTAGCATAAATATCATGGTTTTTCGGGTGCTCAATCAACGCCTTTATGTGAGTCTTACCGCTCATAGCTTTCAAATTCGCCTTTTGAACGATGTTCTGTACATCGTTTGCCTTGATCAGTACATTTATCCACTTGATATGGTTGACTATAACCTAGCGAAGGAAACATATAGCAAACAAAAATATAATAGTTGCTTTTTAAGAGTATTAAATGCACGCTTCCGAAGAAAAAGAATGGTTTAAAATAAATAAAATTGTTGCTTCAATAGTATTAAAGGCACATTACTTACCCTAGAAGTTACTCTATCTTTATGCATCTGTACATCCTTGGCGTCGACATCATCCTCTTCTCTAGTTGCACGACGAGCCGCAGTTAGTGCCGAGACCATGGTGTATACCAATACATCTGATATGGCCATTGTGGCATTTCTTCACAGAAAGCGTCAACAAGGCTATTTCTTCCAGAGCGTTTTTGCTATATACGATCGCAAGCTCATACAAGCATCCGACCTTTATTATAGAAAGATCTTGCAATGCCATTGGACGATCGTGTGATCACTTGTAATGCTTTCCCTGTGAACAGCACAGAAAAACGCACTTGTTGCCAACTCTATTGCTGCAACAGATGATGACGGCAAAGTCTTGGCGTACGGAGTACTATTTGACGGTCGCTACAGATTCCTTCTGGCTGCTAAAGAGCCCGATCAGTATTTGATTCTTCACACTTTTATGACAAGGCTTCATCGTTTTCGGCAAAAACAGCATCATGTACACAAGCAGAAACTGCTGCATCAGTGAAAGGAGATGAAAATCTCATATCAATGGTCGAAATAATGAAAGGTCTATAGAGACTTTAATTGATGGCCAGGCGGCTTACGAAGATGCGTTCATATATTTATTGAATCTAACGGGTAGTAGGTATTAGTCTTGTTTATAATATGAAGGATTCGAATTTCATCCCCCACCCTTGCTTGAATTTTCCCATTCTCCCATAACTAAGCCTTTATTTGGTCAGAAGGCTAATTAAACATAAATTGATATACACTTTCAGAACAAACAACATGTGTATGGCTGACTTGCTAGATCTATTTAGTGCTGCTATTGAAATATTCTATGTATGTAATTCCTTTACACCCACATTAGTTGCTAATCTGGACTATTGACGCTCTGCTTACCATTTCGTCGGCAAGGTCTTGTCTCGTCGGCCTCATCTATTAAAGTCAAAACAAAGTAATTCAACGATGACGCTTTGCTGAAGATATTTAGTGCGAGCAGAAAGCAGACTAACCCACGCCATATTGAGTCGATGCTGTAGTTATTAATGCTTTATCAAATCGAATATACACACACGACGCTAGTTAGCCGTGTTGCACAAAATCTATTAGCACCAGCACATTTAACCAAACTGCTTGTAATTTTTTAAAAGGAAAAGTAGCAAGTGAAACCATGTTGAAACACTAAAATCAAAGTCGATGGCATATAGGACGGCTAGGGCCAGCGTGACCTCAATTATATCAGTGCCGTACACTGCACTATCCTTAAAATTAGAGATCATTTAGCTCTAAAATCGGAGGTATGTATACCACAAAGCATCGAAAGTACATGAGGCATTGCGCCAGTATAAGACTCAAGCAACGCCAAGTTGATCCCGGACACTGTGATTCGCATCAGAACGCCTTAAAAAACCTCTTCGTGTGGTCTTCGCTCTGCTTAGTCATTAGAAGCTTCAAAATTTGAGTCAAGCGACGGCTTCATATCCGCCTTTATAAACATTAACCCAATCATAGTGAACATGATCGCTATAAGCACCCTGAAATCATCGCCTCAACATAATACCACCAGCATTAAGTTCTCGTGCCTCATTCATTCTTGCTCACGTTCGCGTACTTGGACACTACTGGTAGTAAAACTTAGCAGAAAAAACTTGGCAAAAAACTTGGCACCAGCCAAAAAGTTGCCAAACTCCTAGAACGCGACACCAGCGTAGGTCTGCACAACATCAGCAACAACAACTCATATAATTACCAGCAATGGTAATAAACAAAAAAATGTGGTTTTATATATTTAGTCACTCAGTCATTAGCCACATTTATAAAGCAAACTTCCTCCTCTCTCTCTCTCTCTCTGTATCTCTCTCTCTCTCTCTCTCTCTCTCTCTCTCTCTCTCTCTCTCTCTCTCTCTCTCTCTCTCTCTCTCTCTCTCTCTCTCTCTCTCTCTCTCTCTCTCAAAACGCTTCGGCTATGGCTCCACCCACTGCAATAGAAATTCCCCCGTACACTTCTAATGTAAACCCAAATTGAGTACCATCGTTGTTATGGGTCCAGCAATGGAATAAATCCCAAAATACACAAACAAAAGCCCGCAACCAGCGGCAGCCGTTGTCGCAGCCCCAGCGGCACACTCGACGTGGTCTCGAACAGCCTCGAAAGAACTCTATCGTTTATCGCCACGCACTTAACTTCTGTAGCCACGACTCTCACTCCTTCTCCAACCTAACCATTGCCTCCATCGACTATGAGTCCCACTGCGATGTCCGTGGAATACTTTAGACCGACGCCTGATGATTGGTGGACGATCTGTGGAGACAGAGGAAGGGACGAACGAGGAAAGAGAGAAACGGGAGCGATTCCGATTAATGCACCGTGAGACAATCGACGTTACGGCATGAACGTGTAGCGATTGTTGAGCGTGTGCAAGGACAGTGACTTGATCAGGCTAACAACATATTGGGACTGCAGTTCGTTTAAAAAGCGGAGTGTCCTACTTATCTTAAAAGCGTTTCTATAAAAGTTTAAAATGAATATGGTATTTTTGTAACATTTTTCGGCATATATTAAATAAGGTTAATGGATAGTCTAACCGTCCAAACAATTGTTTTTAGTGAACACCTATGTTTTTTTCAATTTCCCGTCCACGGATCCCTACTTCACTCCGACTCAATTACAACACACTCGTACATATCATCGTCAACGGTCGTATAGAAAAAACGAAAAATGGTCCGTTGACGCTTACAAAGCAGCCTATTAGTGTTATATATTATTCTACTGTTGGTCCGCGTATCTTCTACCTATTATTATAAGCTCATGAGGTTTATGTACTGATTAAATGTGTATTTCTCGTCTCGACTTTATAAATTTACCTTTGTTGGAATGAGACAGCGCCGTGATCAAGTACGCATACAATGCTATGTACGATTATTAGGACACAAATAGAGGCAGCCTGATACGACGTATAGAAAAGCAAAATATGGTTGACAATATTGTGAGAATGTAATCATGAAACTCTAGAAAGTGGTAAATCGGATGCTTGCAGATACAAGGAAGATCACGTGCTATAAAATTACGCTATTTTAATGCAATATTTTGGTCATACAGAAACGAAGATGCTACTAATGGTTGTGTCGGTGCTATTACGGATATTGTGGTTTGTGAGCTGTGAACAAAGGCGCATTATACAAATCTACAATGGATAATTACTGCGCAAAAACGTAGCAGATTGGTCTCGTTTCAGCATGGGGTATAAAATATTGATAAATTTTAATATACACGTCCGTAAAAAGTTGACATTTCATGCACAGAGTATCATGTTGGAAAATATCGTTTCTGACAGGTTTTTGAAATGTACGAAGCTTGGTGACCAAAACTGAGATGGATGCTGGTGGGGTCCACTCGGAAGACCGGAGAAGACACTTAGGCAGTATATGGAAGATTGGAAAATGATTGATTATCCGAGTTCATCTGCCTACGCCTTGAATTTCATGTGACGTATATATCAGTCGGAGCTTCTAATCATCCTACTCGTCTAATCGTTCTTGCTTGATTACCTATGTAAAAACTATCACGTAGCAAATACACCTTAGAGTTCAAGTTTGCACGGTAATCTTTAATACGCTTCCTCAAATCAATCTCGCATGGATGCCGAGAGCTGTCGTCAAGTTCTTGTGACGCGGTCCTGAAAGTCCCTTGGTCGTGATGTCCACCAACATCACAGAACTGTCGCAATACTTGAGATTCACTTCATCGCACTTTACCTGATCACATATGTGGCGCTTATTGATGTAGAAATTCTTGGCGCGGCCGTGGTTCACCGGATTCTTCGTCATCTTGATGAACGACTGGTTGTCTTCACGGATGACTAGGTCCGGTCCTGACTTGGTTGCGGCCGCTAAAATCTCGCATAGCAGGCGATAGGTCCACTTGCCTTCCTGGATGGCCAGACTCAGTGACATGTACTCCGCTTCGTTCGTCGATAGCGACACACTTGACTGCTTCTTGATTTCCCAACTCATAGAAGCACCCATTAGCATTATATTGTACCCGAAGTCGACTTGCGATCAGCATGGCCGCCGGCCAGTCCGCGTGCTAGTAGACACGAAAGTCAATCTTGTCGCTTGGCTGGAAGAAGAGTCCATGCGACTGGGCCCCTTGCAAGTAACGAAAGATGCGATTCACCGCCGTCCAATATGCTTGCTGCGGAACCTCCATGAAGCGTGAGACGTACCTTGAAGCATACGCAATATTCGAGAGCGTAGTAGTTATCAAGTGCATCAAAGCTTTCACAGTATTGAGGGATACCGGTACAATCCGAACTTAAGCGTAGTTTTTACGGGATATTTCTTACGTCGGTAATTACCTCAGGGATGATTAGACGCGTAGGATGATTGGACGCGTGTAAATCAGGTTGATTAGATGAACCATGTGGATGCAGTCTAGGGTAGGCAGAATCAGGACCTATGAATCAATCACTTTCGAATCCTCCCTCAAGTGAGCAAGTGTTCTCCGCTTCGTTCTCTCCGGTCTCTCCGCTTCGGTTTCTCTTTGCCTTCCGCTCAAGTATCAACACACAGCTTCACGAAAAGGAACGTCAATCTTGACCGCTTCACTTATTGCGACAAGCCGAATGCTCAAATCGACCGGAATTGTTGTGGCCTTGCACTCATACATGCCGGGACGCTTAAGGATGTCCCTACATATCGTCGCTGGCACATCGTCACGCTTCTATCCAAGTTGTCGACTAATTTAATGCCCAGTAAAAAAGTACACTAGCCACTGTCGTTCATCTCCTAGCGCTTCTTGGGATCTGCCTTTGTGTGCGCAATCAACTCTAGCGAGCTGCCGGTCACCAGCACTTCATCCACATAAACCAGCACGAGCACGCAGTGAACATCGACCACCTTGATGTAGATATACAGGTCGAACGCCGACACTTCGGAGCCGATGAAGCTGACAATCTCGTCGAAAGTCTCGTTCCACACACGCGAAGATTTCTTAAGGCCGTTGATCGCCTTCACCTACTCCAAACAGCTGAAGTCGCCGTCCATCTCGACGCCTTCTAGTACCACGCAGTACAACTTCTCCTTCAGTACACCTTAGTGAAAATCTGTCACCACGTCAAATTGTTCCAGTGGCCAATAAAAGTGCTTGGTGATCGCGATCACCATCGCAGTGTCACGTACTTCACTACGGGCGAGACGTCTCCGTGAAGTCGAAGCCGTATTTCTGCTTGAAGCCCTTGGCAACAAGGAGAGCACTGCATACATATATAGACTCATTTGCTTGCGCTTGATATTCAACACCCACTTGGTGCCGATCTCGCCTTGACCTCTTGGCAATTATGCCGCACGAAAATTCTCCACGAAGATGCATCGACTTGTAATCCGGCTTCACAGCACTTCGCCAGTGAATTCGATCAGGATCATTCATTGCGTCATGGAAAGTCGCAGGTTCTGCGAGAACCGTTGCTTCCACTGAGTTTGCACTTGCACGCCAAATTATTGAAGGCGTCGAGTCGTCATCTTGATCGTAGACACCCGCATCGGCTTCGTCATCAGACATCGTTTCGTGAGTAATTGATCGTCGTTTCTGGTGGACGTTTGAGGCGTGATCCGGCGCACTTGCTTGTTCTAACCCAGATTAATGGAGAGCTGAACGTGGCATGCCTGTGCTTGATTCACTCTTATGCTTGCCAATCTTCTTGTAGCTGGTCTGAACTGCGTCGTCATCGTTGATCGCCAGGAGGTCGAGGTCCAACTCCGCATTTTCATCGTCCTCAATAGATCGGTCCATCGAAAAGTCAAAAGTCGATTCGTCGAAGGTGATACGACGACTTTTACCACTTGGCCCGCCTCAATTCCATACACTCAGTAAGTCTTTGACTCTTCTTCGTAGACCATAAATATCCGTGGACGAGCCTTCAGGTCGCACTTAAGTCGCTTTCCCTTGGTGTAGCGATGTACGCTTGACATCCAAACACGCGCATGTGCTTGACACTGGGTTTCGACTTGTACACGATCTCGAACGGAGTCTTGCGGTCGAACTTGGGTGACGGCAGGTAATTCTTGATGTAGATATTCGTCATTTCCTCTTCCGACCAGAAAGACTTTTTTTAACTTTGCATGATGTAACAGATTGCGTCCAATCGTGACGATGGTCCGTTTCGCGAATTCTGTGGTGCTGTTGGTCTGGTGTGCATACGGCATTGTGACCGCTGCTCGATACCTTGGTCTTCGTAGAAGGTATTGATCGAGTTAGTCGCAAACTCATGCGCTCCATAATGCCAAACGAACTTGATCTTCTTGCCGAACTTCTTTTGGGTCTTTCGAATGTAGTTCTCGATGCATTCTTCACTCTCAGACTTGAACCGCAGACATAAGCCCTTCCTTCGCTGGGTTTGTCAACCACAAGCAGCAAATTTTTGCAGCCGACGGTTGAGACTTGTTCCATTGACCCGCAGATGTCAAAGTCTAGCAACTCAAACAAACCGTAGTGACGCTTGTCACGATTGATTGGATATGGTTTTTTAGACTATATTCCCTTGCTGGCAACCGCGACATTCACTTGGCCCAGTCGAGTTGAAAGGTGCCTAGTCTTCTCTGATCATGCCGGTGATTACCATCTTGCGCAGAACATCGAGGGGTGCGTGAACAATGCGCGCGTGCAATTCAATGGCTCCATTGCGTGTCGCTGCATTCCCCGATCGTTGGGGAGTCCGCAGCCATTAAAGTCCATCGACGAGATCTGCTGTTGCCACGACTTGCGTGATATTCTTGGCCGTTATTTGCATCTTGGACACATCGAACACGACTTGGAACCTTCCACCCTTGTTGATCTGCGGCACCAAAAGCAGATTCATGCTCATACTTGGCACGAAACGTGCGTCCTTGATCTTGATGTCGCGTACGTCGCCCATGGACAGAATCGCCCGTTCCATGATGAATCGCACACCCTTGATCGCAGTCTTGCTGCCATCAGCCACCGATAGTTCGCCTTCCTCTTGCTCATTGAGGCTTGTAAACTTGGCCCAATCGTTGCGGATGTGACGCGTCGCACCGCTGTCGACCGCCCACATCCCTGACATATTCTTGACCGTTGAACTGACAGCCTTAAGCGAAATTACAAACGCAACTCGATCGTCGTAGTTGATGTTGGCTCGCCCTTGAATATTGTTGGGCTTGCGTTTACGAGCACCGTTTGAGCCTTGTCGACCCCCTCCTAAATTTTTTGCTTATGCATGGTCCAGTACCGCTCCGCTGTGTGCCCCAATTTTTCGCAGTACGTACACTGGCAAGGTTTACGTTCAGCACTGAACGCCTTCGACGCGCCATCAATCTTCATCGATGTCGTTTAGTCACCTTGCCTCTTGATTGCTCATTCGTGAGCACTATCACGACGTCTCGCAATCGCAGTTCCGCGCTGCTCATCTCCAAGTCAAACACGACATTCTTGTAGCTCTTGAAGAGGCTGCGCAATAATTAGATGCCACGTCCTTGTCCTCTATCTTGGCGCCGATGCTGCTTAGCTTCGCGCTGATGTTAAGGACTTCATTGTAATGATACGTGACATTGCCTCCTTCCTTCATCTCCATGCTATACAGCTGGCGCTTAAAGTAGATGCTTCCAGCTTTCTGCGACCTGCAGTACAGCGTCTTTAAACGCGCCCACGCGACCCACACCTCCTCACAATCACCGAAGATGGCATGATAGTTGACGTCCATATGAAGCAACAGCAATCCGAAAGCGATGTAGCTCGCCTTGACGTAGTCGTCCATGGGGCGAGGGTCCGCAAAACTCGGCGACGTCTCCTGGTTCACCACGTGCCACGTCGACTAAGTCACGAACATTCCACGGTTGTAGTGGCTCCATGTCGCGTGGATGTCTCCGTCAAACTTGTTGATGTAGATCTTTGTGGTGGCATCTTTGACAGGTACATCGAGCTTGGGCTAATAATATGTTGATATGTGTGAAGATTTATGACGAAAATTGGGAAAGGTGCTGGGAAGTCCACTCGGAAGACCGGAGAAGACACTTGGCCAGTAGATGGAAGATTGGAAAATGATTGATTATCGGAGTTTCACTGCCTACGCCCTGATTTAAATGCTACATTTAAATCATCCTTCTCGTCTAATCATTCTTGCTTAATTACCAATGTAAAAACTATCCCGTAAAAACTATATCATAGAATTCAAGATTATTCCATGACCTTTAATACAAGCCATGGAAATTCGAGAGGGGATTGCAAGATCATTTGAAAATAATGCGACGTGAGTAAATCTAATTACCACTACCACAAATGTACAAAATCCCAACAACTAGAACTACACTTATATCAAATATAAACATTAAACAAATAGTAATCACCACATTCTACTTAACTGCAACATGGAATAAGAAACTTCTGGATTTCTAACGAGTCTTTCTATGCAATAGACAACTGTCACACAATGACCGCGAACGCTCGATTGCTAACGGTTCTGTTGTGATTAAGTGCGCCCGATATGGTAGAAGGCAAACTGATTGTTATATTGAACGTCATCACCATGTCACGACCATACCTTTTACTTTCACACTACTACCTAGTGCTCGTAACCAATAGTGGTTTTAAGCATGACGGGTTGCAGTGCTCCAAGAGTTGCACCTACCCATGGGCCACATCGATTCAAGAGTCGCGTCACTTCAACACTACTTCCCGGAAAGACTTCATTCTATCGACACTAACATACATAATTTGCGTAGTCGCGAAGCAGTGCATGTCTTGGTAATTGAGACAGCCTGCATCATTTTAGACTCGCAAAGCCCACCTTAATCACACCCTTCTTTATGTAATC